AACAACAGCAGCAGCAGCAACAACAACAACAACAACAGCAGCAGCAACCGCAGCAGCAACAGCAGCAGCAACAACAACAATAGCAGCAACAACGGGAGAAGGAGCGACAGTAGCTGCAGCAGCAGCAACAATAACAATAGCAGCAGCAACAACAATAGCAACAGCAGCAACAACAGCAACGGCAGCAGCAGCAGCTGCAGGAGCAACAACGGCAGCAGCAGCAACAATAACAATAGCAGCAGCAGCACCAGTAACAATAGCAGCAGCAGCAGCAACAATAGCAGCCGCAGCAGCAAGAACGGCAGCAGCAGCAACGGAAGCAGCAGCAACTGCAGCAACAGCAGCAGCAGCAATAACAATAGCAGCAGCAAAATCAGCGGCAACAACGGCGAAATCAGCAACAGCAGAAACTGCAACAACAACAGCATCAGCAGCAGCAGCCGTAGCAACACCACCAGCAGCAGCAGCAGCAACACCAGCAGCAGCAGCAGCAGCAACACCAAGAGCAGCGGCAACATGAACAGCAACGCCAGGAACAACAGCGCAGGCAGCAGAAACGGAAGCAGCAACAGAAGCAGCAGCAACAACATCCGCAGCAGGTGAAGCAACAGCTCCTGCAGCAGCAGCAACCCTACCAGCAGCAGCACGAGGTGCTGCTGCAGCTGCTAAAGCAGCAGCAGCATCAGCAACGACAGCAGCAGCAGCAGCAGCAGCAGCAGGATCGATGGCCGTTCCGTAATAACGTGCAGCAACTCAGGCCCTGAAATGTCTCCTGCAGCAGCAGCAGCAGCTGCTGCTGCTGCTGCAGGGGATCTCCCTGTTGCAGCAGCAGCACCTGCTGCAACAGAAAATGCAGCAGCAACAACAGCAGCAGCAGCAACAGCTCCATGGGAGCAGCTGAATCGTCTCATAGGCGTTCCTGCTGCAGCACCTCACCGCTCTCCTGCCAGCAGCAGCAGCAGCAGCAAGAGCAGCAGCAGCAGCAGCAGCAGCAGCAGCAGCAGCAGCAGGATCAACATGCGTGTATTTAAGTGGTTGTTTGCTGAGGATGTGTTTAGGGTTTGCGGTGTATGTGAGGGTTTGAGCGGCTGCAGCAACAGCTGGGAGGGAGAGTGCTTGCTCTTAATAAGACAGCTGCTGAGACCTGCTGCTGCTGCTGCTGCTGCTGCTGGTTCTGCTGCTGCTGCTGCTGGTGGTTCTGCTGCTGCTGGTGGGTCTGGTGATTGTGGAGTCTCTTTTGCTGCTGCTGTGTCTCGAGAGACAGCTGGCAGCAGCAGAACTGCTGCTTCTGTTTGCTGCTGCTGCAGCGTGTTGAGCTGTACATACACCTGCTGGCTATGCGGCGAGAGACCTGCAGCAATTAGAGGCGGTGCTTGTGCTGCCTGTGATGCTGCTGTTGCTGCCTTCTCTCAGCAGCACCAGCAGCTGCTGCAGCAGCTACACAACCAAGAGCACCAGCAGCAGCAGCAGCAGCAGCAGCAGCAGGATTGGGGGGCTTTAGACAGTTTGGGTTCATTTGAGCTGCAGCTTCCGCAGCAAAGTGATGTGTGCATACACCCTAACAATGAAGATTCTGTGCTGCTTTGCTTCGCTACTGACACATCAGAAGACGAAGCAGCAACAGCAGCAGCAGCAGCAGCAGCAGCAACAGCAGCAGCAGCAGCAGCAGAGCCACCGGAAGAGAACGGTGTGCCGTCTTCAACACCCAGAGCAGCAGCCACTACTGCTGCAGCAGCAGCAGCAGCAGCTGCTGCTGCTGCTGCTGCTGCTCCCTCTAAGTCTCGCCGCAGCACCACACAAATATGCGAGCGGGCTGCTCCTTATCGAGTGATTCGTTATAGGCTAGTGAAGCTGGCGTTGCTGCTGCAGCAGCAACCTGCTGCTGCTGCTGGGGGTTGTGCTGCTGCGTTGGCAGAGGCCCTACATGAAGTGGGGCTGCTGGAAGGCTCTGCTGCTGCTGCTGCTGCTGCTCCTGCTGCAGCAGCAGCAACCAATGCCTTATATGGCAGCGGAGCGCATGCAGCAGCAGCAGCAAAAGTTATTGCTGTGCTGCTAAAGTCTGTCGCCCCACGCTCCCCCGTGCAGAGCGATTTGCTGCTGCTGCTGCTGCTGCTGTATGCTAGGCTGCAGGCAGCAGGAACCCAGCTGCTGCAGCTGCAGCAGCAGCAGCAGCAGCAGCGGCGGCGGTGGCGGCAGCAGAGACGCGGAAGAAGCCGCCTTAAACGCCCTGACGAGCAGCAGCAGCAGCAGCAGCAGCAGCAACAGCAGCAGCAGCAGCAGCAGCAGCAGCAGCAGCAGCAAATGTGGGGAGCATGCACTGAGGACTTCTACCAAAGCAGCGACAACGACACCCCGAGCGACAGCAGCAGCAGCAGCAGCAGCAGCAGCCTCAGCTACTGCAGCAGCAGCAGCAGAAGCAGCAGCAGAAGCAGCCGCGGCAGCGGCAGCAGCAGCAGAAGCAGCAGCAGAAGTAGCAGCAGCAGCAGAAGCAGCAGCAAGAAGCAGCAGCAGTGGCGCCGAGCTGCAGACAAGGCCCTCACCGCTTTAAATGAAGCTACATTGAAGATGCTGCATGCAGTTGCTGCAGCTACACCAAACGCAGTAAGCAGCAGCAGCAGCAGTAGCAAAAACAGCAGCAACAACAACAACAACAGCAGCAGCAGCAGCAGCAGCACAGTAGTGGTGTATCTAGCTGCGTTTCTCTCGCCTTTTGTTTATATTTTTCTATACTTATTTATATTTATTTATTTCTGTTTATATTTATTTATTTATATTTATTTATTTATTTATAGAGACCTCGTTTAATAGTTTTGTTAACTGATTGGTTAATTAACAGCGGGCAGACAGCAGAAGCAGAAGAAGAGACAGAAAGGTGAGGTGCAGATACACCGCAAGCAAAGGCTTTATTGTCTTTATCTTTTTTGTCTCTGTCTTTGTCTCTGTCTTTGTCTCTGTTTGTCTCTCTGTTTTTCTTTGTCTTTATCTCTGCCTTTCTATATATGTACATATATATATATATATATATATATATATATGT